ACAGAGGTCTCGGGCCCAGGTGCATGCTGGTAGGATCCAGGCTTCTGGGGTGAGAGGGCAGAGCTGTGCCAAGGGGACATGTGGGTGCTGCACCCAGTGCTGGTTCAGAGCCGTTTTGGTGGACAGAGCCTGGGAGGGTGATGGTGGGCAGGGGGTGGGCTTGGGGCAGTGCCCTGAAGTCCCTGGGCAGCCAGAGATTAAGATGGTCTTCACTCTCCTGACCTGGGATGAGGGCAGGGGCTGCTGAGGGTGGAGAGTGACCCTGAGGCCCGTGGGGGTCAGGCGGGGGTCCTGCCTCTTCTCCAGCGGTCGCCCCACTGCTGACTTGCACCGTGTCCACCCAGGAGTACAGAGAACGGTTCCGCTCCCTCCACAGCCCCCACAGACCAAAGCAGGCAGCCATTTGAGGTGAGTTGACTGGCCTCCCCTGACAACGGACCATGCCCTGCATGGCTGAGGAAACAGACTCAGCCCCTCGTCCTGCAGGTGGTTGCTCACCCTGCTCCCCAACAGGCAGGGTTGTCCTTCTCCCTGACTCCCGGGGCCTTTTTTTTTTTTTTAAACTTAAAAAATAATTTTTTAAAATTGATTTGAGAGCGAGAAGAAGGGGGGCGGATAGAAAGAGAAGCATCAACTTGTTTTTCCTCTTAGTTATGCATTCATTGGTTGATAGTTGTATGTGCTATGACCATGGATTGAACCTGAAGTCTTGGTGTATCAGGATGATACTCTAACCAACTGAGTATCTGGCCAGAGCCCTGGGACCTCTTGAACTCCCCATCCTTGTCCCCTCCTCTGAGAGCCTCCTGCATCCTGCATGTGCACCAAGATTTCTCTGGCGTCTTCCTGTCCCCTTGAAGCCCTGAGCCTAGAACAGTAGCCACAGTGGGGAGGAACTGTGGCACCCATGCAAGGGGCCCACGGTCACGGCCTTCCTCCCGCAGAATGTGGACCAACACCTCTTCACGCTGCCGCAGGGCTACGGGCAGTTTGCTTTCGGCATCTTTGACGACAGCTTTGAGATCCCCACGTTCCCCCCAGGGGCGCTGGCCGACAATGGCAGAGACCCCGAGAGCCGGCGGGAGAGAGAGCAGCAGTCCCGGCACCGGTATGGCGCCCGGCAGCCCCGAGCCCGCCTCACTGCAAGGAGGGCCACCGGCCGGCATGAAGGCGTCCCCACGTTAGAAGGGTGAGGGGGCTGTGGGGGGCAGGTGGGTGGGTTGCTCTTGGGGGCTTCCAGCCTGTCCACCCCACTCAGAGACCATCTGCCCATCCAGAAGATGGTGTGGATGTTGCCTCTGGGCAGGGCAGTTCTCCCATGAGTTCTGGCAGAGCCACCCAAGCCCACCATGCAAAATGGGGTGGTGCAGATAGGGGTAGGGACCCTCGCTGGGGGACTGGGGGGGCTGAAGTGTGGCTCAAGGACCTGGACAGGGCTGGGAGAACCTCATGTCCACTGAGTGTCCCCATTGTCCTTCTGAGCAGGGCTTCATTGGGTGTGGCTGATTCACCTTCAGGTCTTTGTCCCAGAGCAGCATCGAGCTGGTAGTTCCTGATATCCCTGCCCTGTAACAGGGCCCCTTGCCCCCTTCTGTGTGCAGGTACCCAAACGGCTTTTTAGCTTGATGACTGCACAGGAAGGGGAAAGGCGCTCAGAAGGACTGAGAATAAAAGCATTGTTCCTTGCAGGCCCCACCTCTCCAGAGGAGGCGAGGCGAGGCTAGGCTTCTCACACATCTCTGAGATAGACTTGACTGTACATGAAGCCCCCGTGTCACTTAAAATGGGTTTAAACCTACATAGAGCCCATCCATTTCCCTCACTGAGCTGGAGGCATTTCTAGCTCGGCCCAGCCAGCCCCTGATGTCCCTGCTGTCTCATGTCTGAGCAGCACCCACACCCCACAGACCTTGAGCTCTGGAAACAGCAGGATCTGGACTGGATGTTTTGGGCCCGCTGCAAACAGCAGGGTTGACCCCATGGCTCTCATGACCTCCAGGATGTCCCCCCAGGTTGTATAATGGGGGTTGGATGTGGTGTCACAGCCATAGGTGCCATCCGGGCCTTGGGGAAACCTGGCCTGGAACTCAGTGAGGGAGATGCTTCTCTGGGTCCCTCTCATGTTTCATTCTTCTTCCTCATCAGAAATCTTACTGGTCGAAAGCACAACCTTTCAGTGTTGTGGATTTAGAAGCTGGGCTCCAGGGTTCTGTGTCCTCCCCAAGGGGGCCCTGACCCTGGGAAGGCACTGACCACAGGCCTGGCCTTGCTCTGTTCCAGGATCATCCAGCAGCTGGTCAATGGCATCATCACTCCAGCCACGATTCCCAACCTGGGCCTGGGCCCCTGGTGAGTAGGTGGGCGGGTCCCCTAAGTGCCCCCCAGCCCCTCTGCCACTTGAACCCCACACGTCTCTGCCCAGGGGTGTCCTGCACTCAAACCCGATGGACTACGCCTGGGGGGCCAACGGGCTGGATGCGATCATCACGCAGGTACAGGGTGGGCCTCCCCAGGTGGCACTAGGGTCATCACCATCGTTTCAACAGGCCCATTCCCCCCAGCCCCCCAGCACTGAGAGGGTGAGAGGATTGTAGGAGTGTTCTGGTGGATTACATCCCTGGCGTGGACGCTCAGTTTCCTAGCGCCCCAGAACTTCCATCCTGAGGCTAGGGCACACCAGCCCAAATGCTTCCTCCTGGCATGGCACCACTGTAGAGCAGGAAACCACGTGCCAAGGATGGGTGTTCACCATGACGTCTGTGGCACTTGTGAGGCAGGAACATTGCCACTTTCAGGGCTGCTCACCAGTGACCCCTTTGAGTATTTTGTCTCTGATGGGATCTGGCCCTCTGGTTCTAGCTGATGCCTCACAGGACACAGGACCGCATGAGCCCCAGGGCCCTGTCTTCCCGCTCTGGCTGTGAGGTGACACTAACTAGATGAGCAGAAGAGTGGGCAGGAGCTAGTGGCTGGGCCTCATGGGGTGACTGACCTCTAACCCCTAAATGGAGGGTCCGGGGGACCAGGACAAAAGTGGCCTCAGTGCTTTTGCAGGTAACCTAGCCTTGCATTTCAGAGTCGGGCAGGGCTCCTGCACTCTGGCCTCTTGTCTTTCAGCTCCTCAATCAGTTTGAAAACACAGGCCCCCCACCCGCAGACAAAGAGAAAATCCAGGCCCTCCCCACCGTCACTGTCACCGAGGAACACGTAGGTACGTGGCCCTCAGTCACCCAGCTTCTTTTATTTTCAAGGTATTTTCCCTAGGACGTGTATGTTAGACCAAAGGTCGGTTTGAAGGGGAGGCTTTATCAGTGTCTTCTCTGTTCCCCTGGGACACAGGACTCAGGACATAGCCTCTTTCCCTCCCCTGGGTCCAAGGTGGCTCTGGATGGGCAGTCTCCCCAATGGGACACCTTTGATTGGATGTGTCACGGCATCCCCGCTCCCCGCAGGCTCTGGGCTGGAGTGCCCTGTGTGCAAAGACGACTACGAGCTAGGTGAGCGTGTGCGGCAGCTGCCCTGCAACCACCTCTTCCATGACAACTGCATTGTGCCCTGGCTGGAGCAGGTGAGCAGGTGGGTGGCCATGGCCACGGGCCCGCTTCACTCCTGCACCCTGCCAGCCTCTGAATTGCTTCCCTCTCTCCCCACAAAGCATGACAGCTGCCCTGTCTGCCGAAAAAGCCTCACAGGACAGAACACGGCCACCAACCCCCCAGTCATGACCCCCGTGAACTTCTCATCATCATCATCGTCCTCCTCCTCCAGCTCGCCCAGCAATGAGAACCCAGCAAGCAACTCCTGAGTCCCCCCACCAGTCCCCAGAGTAAGCACAGGACCCCGGCCAGCACCAGGCCCTGTGGGCAGGGGGGACATGGACATCCCAGAGCCCAGGAGGTGCCCCCACCTGCCTCAGCTCTCACACCACCATGGCTCCCATGGACTCCGGTGCCAGCTGTGCCCCAGCTGTGGGCAGAGGCTCGGAGGACCCACTGCCTCCAGGCTGTGGAGGAAGCCCGGCCCTCCCCCAGGGATGTCCCTTGAGGGGCTGGGCACAGAGGGACGCAGGGCATATGTCGCCCTCAGGCGTCCCCAACATCCCCTGTCCCATTCGTCTCTAACCTCACCCTCTACATGTTCAACAGTGGAAAGGTTTTTATAATTTTAAATTATTACTGCTTTGAAATAAATGGACGTTAGCTCACATGCGGCCCTGCATGATCTGTGGAAAGATGGGGTAGAGCCACTCAGCTGGGGTCTTGGCCCCACCAGACAGGCCAACAGTCCCCACCTTGAGTGCAGGGGGCTCGGGACCACAAGAATGACCAGCAAAACAGAACTAAACTGCTCTGACAGATGTTTTTTAAAGGAAAAAATATGTGTATCTTGGAAGTTATTTAAAAATACACCTACTTAAAGAAGCAGGTGGTTGGCGTTTTCCTTCTGCGCCGGACCCTGGGTTGTGCCTCTTGGGCACCAGCCAACACCGCTGTCCCAAACCAGAACCCTGGAAGTGGACTGGTGACGTTCGACCAGCAGGTGCAGAGGGTCACTGCGTTGGAAACATGAAACAGGAAACCCCAATGTGCTGAGCTGTCAGGTGGGCCTCCCCAGCCCGTGCTTACTGCAGCTGATGGTGTTCATGTACGAAGGCTATTCTGGAGTGAGGGTCACCAGGGTGGAACCACTGGCCCTGACCACAGTGAGTGTCCACTCTGTACTATCATACCCCCACCCCCACCCCCCAGTAAGTGACCCCTGGCTTTGTGTTCTGTATTTTAAGTGGCAGGAGGCTGGGATGGGTGGAAGCCCTCACCCCACTCCCCAGGGATTACCTGCCCCAAGCAGAATGTCCCACCTTAGTTTAGGAGGAGCTCCCACGTTAGCCCCCCCCCCCACCCCCATGGGGTAAATGGCATCATCATTCTCACTTTATATTTTTTGAAATAAATTTTTATTAGTTTCAGAGAGGAAGGGAGAGGGAGAGATAGAAACATCAATAATGAGAATCCTCATTCGGCTGCCTCCTGCATGCCCCCTACTGGGGATCGAGCCTGCAACCCTGTCATGTGCCCTGACCTGGAATCAAACTAACTTCCTGGTTCATAGGTGGACGCTCAACCACTGAGCCACACCAGTTGGGCAATCATTCTTCTCACTTTATAGGAGAGAAACTGAGGCCCAGAATGGAATTGCCTGGCCCAAGGCTCCAGAACTCAGCCCTGTGGTGGGGGGTTTCTGGGGTTCTGGGGGAGAGGTGGGCACTCGCCCAGGCACAGCACTTCCCATGTACTCCCCTCCATCCCCAGCCTATGGAGGACACTGACATGAAGCCCCTCGGTCTGCACATGGCACCTCTCCCCCTGAAGAACTGAGAAGCTTTGAAGACATTACTCAATTTCAGACCCTGTATGTGCGTTTCTACATCTGCTGTGACCACACGCATTTATTCTCTAACACTTCTGGGATCAGGAGACTTGCCTAAGTCTCAGGGGCTAACCACAGGTGTGGGCAAGACTGGTCCTTCCTTACGCTCCAGGAAGAACCATTTCTGGCCTTTTCTAGCTTCTAGAAGTGCCACATCCCTGGCTCATGGCCCCTCCCTCCATCTTCACAGCCAGCAGCACAGCCTCTTCCATCTCTGACTCAGATGCTCAGACCTCCCTCTTAGGAGGACCCTTGTAATGATAATGCTCCCCCGCTCCCTCCCATAATCCAGGATCATCCCCATCTCTGGGCCTTGACTTAATCCTACCTGCAAAGTCCCTTTACAATGTGAGGCAACGTGTCCACAGGTCGGGACCTATCACCCATGGCATGTCCATGTTGTCCTCTCCCCCCTGGCCTCCAGACTCCCTGGTCCCTAGCTTCCCTTCTCTCTACCTCAACATTCCAATGGGTTCCCACTGCTGAGTCTGATAGGCTGTATCCCGACCCAGAATACTCTTCCAAGACCTGGTGACCTTCAGTCTCTAGTCCAGGAGGCGCCTTATGGGGACTCCTCGCTCCCCAGCTCATGACTCAACACCTACAGCCCCTACTCAGCTCAGTGTTCCCCCGCCTCAGATTCAGACAAGGGTGGGTATGGGGTTCCTGCAGGGTCCCCAGAGCCCTGCAGACAGCAGGCATTCAATGCTTGTGAAAGGAATGAGTGACCAGACATGGTTTGGCCACAGCCTGGGCCTCCTCCGGCCTCTGGTCCCTGGCCACCTGCCCAGATGTCTTTTGGATCTTGTCTAGCTGTGCCTCATGGCCCCTCGGGGCCTCAGGAGACCATGACGGGCAGGAAATGAGTGGAAAGGTGGTGCCGCCGTGTCCGGCCACCGCGTCGAGGGACCCCCCGCCTGTCCAGCGCCAGGAACATGGGCCGGCCTCGGTGACGCCAGCGAAGTGAGGCATAGGTGTTGTAGCCGTTCTCCTCAATGCGCTCCTGGAACCTACAGTGAGCAGTGTAGATCCGCTGCGGGGGGTCGGGAACATGAGGCCACTGGACCCCGTTTCCTGCCAGTGCCTGCCCACCACCAGCCACCCCCACCATGCACTCACCGACCCATAGAGGTGGCCCCGGCGGCTCATGGCCACGAAGAAGCCGGTGTGCACAGCCTTGAGGGCCACGACGCCCACGCGGATGGAGCGGATCTCAATGATGCCTGCTGGGAAGGGCTTGGTCAGGGCCCTCAGCCACCGTCTGCTTCCCATGTGCTCCCTCATTCAGTCATTCAAGTGACATTCACCAAGCACCACCTGTGTGCCTGGCCCTGTGCTGGGTATGGGAATACACCGGGGCCCACAGGGCCTGTCCCCGGGATGTGCCCCTGACACATTGGAGGATGTAAGTGGGGAATAGTCGGGCTTTCTCCAAAGGGTACTGGGGAACCAGAGCAAGCTGTGGAGCAGGGGAGAGTCCTGGTTAGGTCAGGGATGAGGAAACCAAGCCAGAGGAGTTAGGTGCTTGCCTGAGTGAGCTGTTGATTTCAGTAAAACAAGTATTGAGTGTAACAGTGACCATGGGCCATGCAGCTTCCCCTACAGTTCTCATGGCCTTTGCCATGTCCGGCCCTGACAACTCAGCCAGCTGCAGCCACTCGGTTATAGGGAGATGAAACCCCAGAAGGGAGGCACTGCCCAGCAAAGGCCTGAGGGTGGGACAGGGGTGTTTATAGCACAGTGCATTCAACTTGGTACCCGCTTACACTGTTTCAGTGCCAACTCTATGCCAAGCACTATACCCCACTAAGCCCACACAGCAGTTCTGGGGTCGGGCGTCTTACATAGTCTTGGGGGCTAAGGCCAGGTGTGGGCAGGACTGGTCCTTCCTTAGGCTCTCGGGAGAACCATTTCTGACCTTTTCTAGCTTCTAGAGGCGCCACATCCCTGGCTCATGACCCCTTCCTCTAACTTCACAGCCAGCAGCACAGCCTCTTCCATCTCTGACTCTGACCCTCCTGCTTTCCTCTTATGAGGGTGCTGCCTGTGCCCACCTCCCAAGGGGGGAAACAGGCCTGGGAAAGAGCAGAGGCAGCTTCAGGCCCCATCCGTCGGTGGGTGACCCTGAGCGAGCTCTGCCCGGCTCTGAGCCAATGTTTCCTGTCCAGCGAAGCAGGACTTCAGGATGAGCCACACCCCCCCTCAGCCATGCACTGGGGTCTAATCTGGGCACCTTTTATATGCTGTGCTGGGCATTAGGGACATACTGGTGACCAGAGACGGCTTCACCTTCATGGGGTCAAATCTGTGCACGGAGGTCTAATCTGGAGTCAAGGTTTTGCCCTCTAGTTTTCAGTTTGTACTTGGATACCTGAGATAACAAGGAGCTCACCCCATCCCCCATGGGGCCTTGCACCTGCTGTTCCCTCAGCCAGGCCCCTGGCTCCTCTTGTGCATGGTCAGCTCCTTTTCTTGGTAATAGGCTCAACCCAAGCCCACCTCCTTGGAGAGGCCCCCAAGACCTCCCCCAAGAGCTCCCCGAGTCACCTCTTGTACATTGCCCTGTTTTCATTTTCTTTGCACCACATGTGGTCCCCTCTGAAATTATATTACATGTTTAACCGCTTTACCCTCTGTTCTGGAACCCCATGGAGGTGAGCTGTCCTGGTCACCCTGTGTCCCTTGTGCCCAGTACAGCATACAAGAGTTGCCCAATAACCACTGAATTAATGAAGGACAGAAGACCTCCAAGACCAACCCACACAGAGCCATCAACCAACCCATCTGTCACTCCATCACTGCCCAGATGGGGAAACTGAGGCTCAGATAGAAGCAGCAACTGTCTCAGGTCACCCAGCAGAGCCAGGCCTCAACCCCAGCCTGAGGCCACCCTGCCTGGCTGTGTCCACCACCAGTCAACCGGCCCAGCCAGTCCCCTGTCATTGCCCTGGTCTAGTGAATCTAATGAGGGCCTTGGGAGCCCCAGATGAAAGCAGCTGGGAAGGGCAGGGGTGATTATCTGCCCTAATGGTGGTGATTCAGGCAGTGGCCAGCGATTAGCTTCATTCCCCCAGCCCCCCACCCACCCCCGCCCAGGGCTCAGAGTTGTGGGGAGACTGAGGCAGGCCCATGGCATCACCAACCGCCCTGGCCTCCCAACTGTCCCCAACCCCCTTCTCTTTGCCCCTGCATCTCCTCTTGCCTCATACATTCCACAGATACTTATTGAGTGCCTATTGTTTACTGGGTGGGGCAACAGGGACAGTGACTCCAACTCGATGAGGTTCTTGAGCATCAAGGAGCCCAGCAACACAACCCCCCAGCAGCGTGACCCTGGGCAGGCCATCTCCCCTCTCTGGCTCAGTTTCCTAGAAAGAAACAGAGGGGTCCCTCACCCAGGCAGATCCTGAGTTTTGTTTTGCATCGTGGGAGTCAAGTTCAGAGCCCGGCTCTGCCCCACTTCGTGATGTAACTTTCTAGAGTCAGTTTCCCCTCTACAAATGGGCCCAGTGACCCCAAACTCAACTATCTGTAAACACCCTTTCTCTGCCAGTGAGCCAGGCCTGGGGCTGGGAGCTTCCTCTGTGACCATTTAGGTTTGGCCGATTTGACTGCGGAGGAAAATGAAGCCAAAAGGGTAAATGACTTGGCCAGTGCCATGCAACCACAGGAGCCCCCAGGACCGTCTCATCGTTAAGATTACCGCTGCAGTTGTTACTGCCCGCCCATTGGTCCAGAACCTCCCTCCCCTCCCCGCCCCCCGTCACCCGGCAGCCCCACGCGACTCACTGTCAGGGCTGTGGCACCAGCGGGTGCCTTGCACGAGGCCGCTGGGGTCGACGCGCAGAAAGAAATGGGTGGAGGAGAAAAGGCGCCGCCAGCGCACGTCGCCCTCCAGGTGCGGGTAGCTGCGTGGTCTCCGGGGGCCTCCTGGGGTCCTCGCAGCGCCGGGAGCCCGTGCCAGCAGCAGCCATGCCAGGCCCAGCCACAGGCGGCAGCGCATGGCCTCGCCGCCCGCTCGCCGCCCGCTTTTGCCTCCCGGAGCAAGTCCGCGGCTCTGCCATTGCCGAGTCAGGGGCGGAGAGTCCGAAAGGGGCCGCCCCGGTTGGGCCAATGGGGAGCCTCCGGGCGGGGCACCAGGCGGGGCACCTGGAGCGGCGCCAGGACGCAGTGGGCGAGGGGCGGGGGCGGTCCATTTAGGAAAACCTGCTGGGGCCTCGGCGCGTGTTTGTCTTGCGCTGTGGGGAGGGTGGTGCGTGTCTGTGAATCACCGGGTTGGCCTGCAAGGGCTGCGGGGTGTCAAGTGTGAGACAGGCAGGGCACAGAGACAGAGAGATAGAGACAGAGATAGAAACAGAGAGACAAACACAGAGATAAGAGACTGAAGGACAGAGACGAGGAGTGAGAATGAGGCAGAGAAAGACCCGGGAGACATGGAAAGAGCGAAATACGAAGACTGAGAGGCAAAGAGACTAAGACGCAGAGATACAAAGGGAAACAGACTAAGCTGGAGAGATGGAGAGTATGAGACACAGGGGAAGATGGTTAAAAGAGACAGAGAGACAGATACGGGATGAACAGAGGGTAAGTCGGACAGAGAGACAGGAAGTGGGGTTGATTAGGGGTCAGAGGTTGGGTGGGAAGTTCTGGCCTGAGTGTTGTCTGTGCGAGCCAGGCCCCCGGACTGAGCATGTTCAGATGGAACTTGTCTGCCCTCCAAACTGGAGCTTCCTGAGAGCCAGGCCTCTGGGCAGGAGGCTTTGCTGAGGGGTGGGCATGGGGGTGGGGTGCACACAGGCATTTGAGCAGGTGGGTGGATGGGGTGTTGTGGGTGGGGGGTGGGGACTCATGGACATGTCTGTGGCCAGTGGATGGTGACCGAGGCCAGCACCGCACCCCCAGCATCTGGAGCTGCATGTCCTAAGCATTAGGAGTGGGGAGGCCCCATTTATACCCACATCTGCTCATCATTTACGAGACGTCCAAGCCCCACTGGGAGCCATCCTGGGCCTTTGGTCCTGCGTGGTGAATACAATGAACCTCACAGACTCAAGCCAAGAGGCGCCATTGCTAGCTGGGGAAACTGAGGCCCGGGAGGGGCAGCACCTCCCCCACAGCCCCTCAGGGGACGCATCCCAGGGTTCCAATCCTTGACCTTCTGCTCCCACCAGCCCAGTCCTATAGCCATAGCCCCAGGTGGCACCTTTAAATAGCACTGGGGTGAAGAAAAGGTGACCAGCCCACCCTACTGGAACACTGGAGGAGTAACTGATCCAGCTGGAAGCTGAGTCTTCTTCCTGGAGGCTCTGGGGGATTCCATGATCCCTCTTCCTGGCCCCAGGAGGGCCACACAGGGGCTGCCCAGGCCCCAGGACTCCAGATGGGGGAGGATGTCCCTATGGCCTGGTCCATTCAGCCTGTCTCGCCACACTGGGGGCCCTGAGGCCAGCACCTGAGCCTCCTGCATGCGTTCAGCACGTCCCCAAGCCTCCGTTCCTTCTCTGTAAAATGTGCCAGACAAGGAAAGGCTAGAAGGATGGAATGAGATACTCTGCACCTTGTTGGGCAGAGGTACAGCACCCAGGCTCGGAATAACATGCCCCACTTGCCAGCCAGAAACTTGGTCTTCGCTTCCTCACGTGTTTCCAACCCCCTCCCCAGGAGGATAATTGGGGGGGCCTTGTGTGACGGGTGGGACCACCCCTGGGAAGCTGGCCCTGCCCCAAGTGTGGTCGGAGTTTAATGACAGTTTCATTTAAATATAATTCACATACCACACAGTGTTTGCAGTACAGGCAGAGTTTCCAACCACCTCCATCTAGTTCCAGAACATTCTGTCACCCCACAATGAACCTGCTTCCCCTTTAGCACCTACTCCCCACCGCTCTCCCCAGCCCCCGGCACCCACTAACCCACTTTCTGCCTATGGACTTGCCTATTCTGGATATGTCACATGAATGGAATCACTCTGCATGGCCTCTTGTGTCTGGCTTCTCTCACGGAGTCTTGCGTTTCTAAGGCCCATCCACGTTGTAGCATGGGTCAGTGCTTCATTCCTTTCCACAGCGGAGTAATAATATTTCAGTGTGTGGATGGGCCACATTGTGTTTAGCTATTTACCCATTGATGGGCACTTGCTTGTGTCGACCTTTTGGCTGCTATATATCATTGCTGCTGTGGACATCAGTGCATGAGGGTTTCAGTTACTCCATATTCTCACCAGCACTTGCGATTGTCTGTCATTTTGATTATAGCCATCTTAGTGGGTAAAGCACAATACATGCTCTGTTCCTGGAGTCCCCGATTCTATATCTTCTTTTTTGCTCTCCATCAGGAGCAGAATGGGTTAATGCACTGTAGCAAATGCACACAAGAGAGTACAGTGCCGCCATGAAAGGAATAACCTCCTGAAACACACAACATGGAGGACTCTCAGGCATCATATTAAGTAGAAGCAGCCGGGCACAAAAGAGGTCCATTTCTGTGACAGTCTAAAACAGGAAAGTCCATATACGGTGTGAGGCATAAGGATAGGGGTGTGTCACCCGCAGGGGCAGTGACAGGGTGGGGCATGAGGGGATTTGGGCAGCTGGATGTTCTTTGGAACACCTGTGTATTCCATTTGTGAAAGGTAACTGAACTGTATTCTTGATGTATGCACTGTTTACATTACGCCTCAAAAAAAATGCACACATGTAATGTCTAAAGGCTCAGTCCTTTGTCATAACCACGCTGCAATCTAATTCACCAACCATGCTCAGATGCCCCCTACTGTGCCCATAGTGTCCTTGAATAGCTTTCTTTTTGTTCCCAAACCATGAAGTACATTCATTTCTCTAGTCTCTGGGATTGGCTGAATAATAGCTCCCAAAGATATGTTCACATTCTTCTTTTTAATTTTTAAAAATATTTTTTAATTGATTTCAGAGAGGAAGGGAGAGGGAGAGACAGAAACATCAATGATGAGAGAGAATCATTGATCGGCTGCCTCCTGCACACCCCACACTGGGGATCCAACCCGGAAACCAGGGCACGTGCCCTTGTCGACCGGGACCCTTCAGTCCGCAGGCCGACACTCTATGCACTGAACCAAACTGGCTAGGGCTGCACTACAGCTTTTTTATCCACTCATTTACTGATGGGCACTTGGGCTGTTTCTAGATATTAGCTATTGTAAATTGTGCTGCTATGAACATAGGGGTGCATACATTCTTTCTGATTGGTGTTTAGGGTCTTTTAGGATATATTCCTAGCAGTGGGATCACTGGGTCAAATGGCAGTTCCATATTTAATTTTTTGAGAAACTCCATACTGTTTTCCATAATGGTTGCACCCGTCTGCATTCCCACCAGCAGTGTACTAGAGTTCCCTTTTCTCGACATCCTCTCCAGTGCTTGTCATTTGCTGATTTGTTGATGGTAGCCATTCTGACAGGTGTGAGGTGATATCTCATTGTCATTTTAATTTGCATCTCTCTGATGATCAGTGACTTTGAGCATTTTTTCATATGTCTCTTGGTCATCTGTATGTCCTCTTTTTTTTTTTTTTAAAGCCCACAGCAACAGAGGTCAGCTTTTATTGAATGTGTTACAAAAGAGCTAGTTTAGTCAAAAAGACCAAAGCCCATGTCATCATCAGACTCCTCAGATTCTTCTTTCTTTGCTTACACTTTCTTCTCCTCAGCTGGGGCAGCAGCGGTGGAGGAGGCAGGACCTCCTCCTGGTGCAGCACTAGCTGCAGGGGCAGGTCCACCAGCCCCTACATTGCAGATGAGACTCCCAATGTTGACATTGGCCAGAGCCTTTGCAAACAAGCCTGGCCAGAAAGGTTCACCATTTACACCAGCTGCTTTAATGAGGGCGTTGATCTTATCCTCCGTCACCGTCACTTCATCCACTTTATCGTCCGTTGAGCAGGATAAAGGCTGAGTAGATGCAGGTGAGCTCTGAGACTGAGGCCATGGTCAGGGTGAGTGCTGGGTGAGCGCTGCCAGGAGTGGTGCTAGTCGCTGGATGAAGTGAGGGCCTCACCCCAATGCAGCCTTAGCTTCCTCAGAAGAACCAAGCACCTTACCAGTGGCTGGGAAAGGGGCCTGTATGTCCTCTTTGGAGAGGTGTCTATTTAGGTCCTTTGCCCATTTAATTGGATTGTTTATCTTCCTTTTAAGTTGTATGAGTTCCTTATATAGTTTGGATATTAACCCTTTATCAGATGTATCATTGCCAGATATGTTCTCCCATACAGTGGGCTCCCTTTTTGTTTTGTTGATGGTTTCCTTTGCTGTGCAGAAGCTTTTTGTTTTGATGTAGTCCCATTTGTTTATTTTCTCCTTAGTTTCCTTTGCTCTAGGAGATGTATCTATAAACATAGTGCTACGAGAAATGTCTGAGATTTTGCTGCCTATGGCCAAACTCCAACCTCTTGATACCATATTCCCCATTTAGTTACAATTGTTTTCATCTACCTTGTGTCCTATTAATATTTTGCTTGCTTAAGTTTACAAGGAAACTAACTTGTTATCACCATCAGGAGTGAAAAGCTAGTGCCATATATTGACACATTGACTTTATTATTTTTAAAAAAATATTTTTATTGATTTCAGAAAGGAAGGGAGAGGAAGAGAGAGAGAGAAACATCAATGATGAGAGAGAATCACCAACCTGGGCATGTGCCCCTGACCGGAATCAAACCCGGGACCTTTCAGTCCACAGGCCGACACTTTATCCACTGAGCCAAACCGGCTAGAGCGACACATTGACTTTAAATAGAAATACAAGAAGAAGAACAGGTGATGCATTTTCATATCAAAAGGATCACAGCCAGGAAGCTGAGATAGGAGTTAAATATACTAGGTGGGCACCAAGTGAGACTTCCCATGTTTTAGTGGGACTGAAAGAAGAATAGCTTTCTTGACGCTAAGACCCAGGAATCCAGGTCTTGGGGAAATACTGGTTTAGGGCATCTGATGTCCCACAGAATAGAAGAAAAACGGAGGCATGAGGAAAGATGAAAGAATTCAGAAGTCTTGGCTTCCAGCCCAGGTTCCTGGCTCTGCCAGACTTTTGGGGTACAAGGGGGTGTTTTTAGGTCTTAGGGCACCAGACCCAGCTGATTCAGCCACCACCACCCCCTGAGCCAGAAAGGCAACCCCAGTTTGAGTCCTGTCTGAAGTCAGTGCCCCTCAGGGCATCTTGGAGTGCACTGGGCTGGGTTTGGGAGGGTGCTGCCATCTGTGAAGACATTTCCAGCAGTGACATCGCTATGCCTCACAGCGCACTTGCCCATGTGAGCAGTTGCATCTGGAATGTGCTGTCAAGAGGCCTCCAGGCCCAGGAGTCTGGCCCTTCCAGAGCACAGGTTCAACCTCCACTCTGAGCTAGTGGGGAAATGGAAGTAGGAGCATAAGGGGACTGGTGGCAGCTTGAGCTGAGGCCCCTGGGCCCACAGTGGTCAGCCTCCTGAGCATCACTCCAGTGTCCTTTCTGCTTCCTTTCTCCACCCCCACTCTGATTGAGTGCCCCTAACTATCCATGCTTGTTCCAGGGCCTTTACACTTGCAATGACCTCTGCCTGGAACGTCATTACCCCAGATATTCTCATCCTCTACATTGCCAGCTGATGACAGACCAGGTGCTCCCTTCCCCTGGCCTCAGTTTTCCCTACTGAACGATTGCCGGAAGCCGGTCCATCCTTGCTGCTTGACACAGTCGCTGCAGGGAAGAAACATCTGCACAGCATATGTTTCAAGGGACCTGGCATACTGTTCTTAATATGTTTGCTCCCCTTCTTAGCGCTATGTGTTCTAACCAGGGCCACCTCCCCGAGAAAGGTTGTTTCCCCAGGTGGGGATTTTCCCCCTGGAGTTAGGGATTAACAGGACTAAGGACGGGAATAAATCTGTAAAACCCCTTAACTAAGTGTCAGGCAGGTAGTTAATCACCTTAACTACGAACAATCACGCTTAAGCTACATAATCTTTACTTAGGATAATCTCCTTCAGTTACTTCCTTGTAGTTTAACAGAACAGTAGAGTAGTGACCTTGGAATGGAGATAACAAACTAGCCCTAACCTTTGGAATAGAATGGATAGGATTAAAATCAACAGAACTAGATGGAGATGGGGTTTTTGGCAAAGGTCAGATAAGAAACTATGGACATGAACAAGGAACTGTAGAAGGTCAAGGGAGGACCCAAAACATACCATGATGTGACTATAGAGGCATGCTTATAGGATCAAATGGTATAAATACAGATGTAACAGGAGAATAAAGGGAGAACCTGGCTATGCTGATCATCTGAACGCTGTCTCCATGTCCTTCATTCTTCGCCGACTCCGTCCACACCTTTGGGAACCCCTGGACCACCGGGGCTGGACCCCGGCCCACGATAGGTGGTGTTAATTCCCCAAAGGAATAGACGCTCCAAGAAGGACTCTTTGTGGCTAATTGGGCTCAAATTCATAACCAGAGTCTAGCAGCCATTGTCTACAGAGGTCTTTCACCCAAGCTGCATATCAGGGAAAAGCCACAGACTAGGCTGCCAGCCTCCTGTATTATTCTCCTGCCACTGCCTGAGCTGACCCTTATAAGAGAGCTCCTAGAATTGAAATTTGACCAATGGGCTGAAGACCTGCCCCATCCAATCTATATACATATAACTCTAATATACAAATGGACTGAATGCAGAACAACCCAACAAACGAACAACCAGTCGCTATGATGTGTGCTGACCACCAGGGAGTGTGTGCGGAACATGGCAGGCGTTGGTGGAGTCACCAGACCAAGGCAGGGTGCTGGTTGCTGTCATCGGGGTGAGCCTCTGGTGGTTAATGAAAATTCTTTGCTCCTGCATGCCGCGGTCCCACCCAGTGCCCGCACCTACTGCCAGTGCATCCGCTGCTGGCACTGGAGCTGCTGCTTGCACCCGCTGCTGGCGCCCAGCGCTGGCCCGATTGCTCGGCACCATCAGTGGGTGCGAGCGGTGGCTGCCAGCCCTGATTGCCCCTGATGGCTTCTCCACCTCCCCCTGCTCCTGAGGGGCGATTGGCACAGCAGCCACCACTTGCACCTGCTGACGGCACCAGCCCTGCTCGCACCTGCTGCTGGTGCTGGCCCCAATCGCTCTGCGCTGTCAGCAGGTGCAAGCCGGGTGGTGCTGTCAGTGTGTGGGAGCAGTGGCAGAGAGGGACCTGGGGGCCACTGCAGGAGGGGCTGGGTGTGGAGGAGGTGCCAAGACCCAGCCCTGTGCCCACTGCAGCCTCAAGGCCCACAGTTCCTTTCAAGGTGCACTAATTCGTGCACTGGGCCCCTAGTATTTGCATATTTATTGACCAACTATGCAGCCTACCAATCAGGACAGTGCTATATAGACCAATCAAACTGAGCAAATTTGGAATCCTCATTTGCATAGGATTGGACCAATCAGGGAGATGGGGGGGGAGGGTGGACATTTGTCTCTATATAAGCCAGCCTCACCTCACCTCTGTTTCAGCAGAGTCCCTGTCTACATTTCCCCCTGTTTGTTAACTGAGCTGTAATGTTTGATCTGGTTTATCTGAGCCATTCCCTCAGGAGAGCTGTTTTTACTGAATAAAGTCTCTCCTATGTCATCCCCAAGTTGGGGACTCCTGATATTGAATTGGTAGCAGTGACCTTCGGTTGGTCAACAGTGGGGATACCTTCAGGTCTGAGTCTAAAGCTCTGGCCCTGGAGGCCAGGGCTGGGAAGTTCCAGGCTCCAGGGATTATTTCCTTGTATTTGTCATGTCAATTTAGTGTTAGTCCACTCTTTCTGCCCACTATGCTCTTGTCCTTGGGCGTTTGGGGACTAGTGGGTAAATCAAGGCCAGACGAATGGATGAGGATAATGTCCAGGGAAGTGTTCCAAACACATCTGCCTGGGGGTCAGACAGATCTGGGCTTTCATTCCAGTCTCCCTAATTAATGTTCACACTGTACCTTTGGGCAACTTGATTTACCTCTGTGAACCCCAGCTTCCTTCACACTAAGCTGGGTATAATAATAGTTCTTGCTCCAAAGATGTTATTGGGTTAATGAAGACTGCGAACAGAAATCTAAATTGTGCCCGGCTGGTGTGGCTCAGTGGTTGAGCGTCAACCCATGAACCAGGAGCTCGCCACTCTATTCTCCGTCAGGGCAAATGCCCAGGTTGGGGGCTGGATCTCCAGTAGGGGGCGTGCAGGAGGCAGCCTTCAGGGACTTTTCTCTCATCATTGTTTCTCTCCCTCTCTCCCTCTCACTTCCTCTCTCTCAAATCAATAAAAACATACTTAAAAAAAAGAAATCTCTAAATTGTAGAACGCTGTCCTAATTATTGCGCGATGTTAATTTACAAAAAGAAATCCAGGTTCTGACGGCCCAGAGTCTCCCAAACAACGGCTCTGCCCACCCTCTCTTGACAGAGGAAGAGCCAATCAGAAAGCTGTATCTGCGCCCGTCCTTGTGCCTCCGGGGCCTCGCTGCTCCTGGGAGTTGTGGTTCCGAGGGCGCTTTTGCGGCCCTGGAGTCCCTTCGCAGCCGCCGTAGGCCTCGGAACTACAACTCCCAGCAGCACGGGCAGCGCAGGCGCAGAGCGGGCGGGTAGCTGGGTCCGCGTGTGTCCGGCATGTCGGCGCTGCGCTGGGGCCGCGGCGCGGCTGGGCTCGGATGGGCCTTGTGGCCGGCGGGCCGCCCCGGCCTCCTGGCCGAGGAAGGTAACACAGGGGAGTCCCAGGGGCGACGTCGCGGCCGCTGCCACTCCCAACCTTTAGCACCCGGCCGTGACCTTTGGCTTTTCTGCCCTGGGCTCTAGCTACAAAGCCACGACCTTTGCCTTCTGAGGTTTGGGGGAACCCATTAACGTGACCCCGCTTTCACCTGCCCTTGGCACACTCTTCTGACAGGGGTCGGCAGGACACTTTGACCTTTGACTCTTGGTTTCTTTTGGTGCCTCTGAACCCCTGTTTGCTCTTGACATTTGAATTCGCTGTACCTTTGGTTCCAGGAACTCTTTATCCTTGATCCCTCACCGCAATTTTCTTAGCGCGTGGGGTCCCCTTTAACTTTGATCTTTTGTTTTCTTTCCAATGTGAGACTTCTGATCACTGACAGCTTCCACGGAAGATTTAAGGCTTCTTTGCCCCCGGATCCTGCAGTATCTGTCCATGTGTGCTCCCCCACCCCTCCCGGCTCCAGACCCCCTTTAACTTACCCCTCTCTCCCTCAGGCACCCTGGGTGGCCTATGGGGCTGCAGAAGGAGCTCGTCTGCCAGCCCTTGTGAACAAGACCGCCGGAGGGACTGGGGCCACGCGGAGCTGCTGGAGGGTGAGCCCTAAGGCTTGAGGCCTGAAGCCCCTTCACTGTCCCCTCTGCTTGGGGTCACCTTCCTGGTTTCTCACAGTGACCCCACAAGTAGGGATGTCAGTCTGTAAAACGGTGTAACTAATGTGGTCCCACCTCTCTGGTGGTCTTGAGGGCCCACCATGATGATGAAGCAGTGACCACTTGTAATGTCCTCCTTTCCCATACCCACCAGGTGCTCCCACTTTCCAGACGGCCGGCACCCGAAATTGTGGCTGGAGAGACTGGCCCAGGACCACACGGGCAGAGCCGGGATTAGAACCCTGACCTGATCCATGTTGCCCCAGCTGGGCTTTCTGAGCGGGCACCTGGTGGGATTGTTAACTTAGAAAGGCTTTCAAAGTGAGAGGCAACAAGTGTTTATTTGAGACCAATAAGAATAGCCATTTGGGAGTCATTAATTCAGGCAGAAACCCAAACTATTTCAATTAGGAGACAAAGGCAAAGGGTTTTCATGAGAAAGTGAAGGGGAACAGTTACATCCATAGAAGGAAGGCATTGTTATTGGTGCAGGTAACATAACGAAGTGGCGCTAATTCTACACAACATTTTAAATTTTTAGTCCGATAGCCATCAGTCCAGTAGTCATAATTATCTGCTTTCTTACCTTCATTACAAATAGTTTTTTGGGACGCAAGGTTGCTTAGGCCCAATCCAAAGGTTATCTTTCCCTGTTTCCTTTTTTAAGTACGTTTTCATTGATTTCAGAGAAAGGAAGGGAAAGGGAGAGAGGGATAGATACATCATTGATGAGAGAGAATCATTGATCAGCTGCCTCCTGCAGGCCCCCAACTGGGCATCGATCCTGCAACCCAGGCATGTGCCCTGACTGAGAATTGAACTGTGACCCCCCTAGTTCATGGGTTGATGCCCAACCACTGAGCCATACTGGCCAAGAAGCCTTGTTCTGTTTTAACATTCCAAGGTTTGAGGTAAGAGATATGCAAGGCAGTTCCTTTGGGATGGCTGCTCCAGCTCCATTTTTTTTTTTTTTTTACATTTCCCCCCTTTTGTTCAAGATCTTTCCTTGAAAACATTGCTAATCAACTATCAAAAAGCAGCACTGATCAGTTATTAAAAGCATTGTTGGTCCTTCGTTGTCAGGTGGCTCATTTTGGATATGTCATGCCATTGCTGGTTCCTCATTCCTGGTATGTCATGTCCCATGTAGGAGGGAAAGTAGTTTTTTAGGAGCCTCAGGACACATTTGAGCAACGAGCTTGAGCAACGAGCGCCAGAACAGAGGAAGGCTTTGCCATCATATTCGCCCCCCCCCACCCCCGCCATCATCATATTTCTTTAAGGATAAACATCTGTAGTTTCTTGAGGTTTCTCGTATGAAGTCTCAGGCCTTAGTGATAGTTTCAAAACTTTGAACAACCATTATCAAAATGGTACCTTTGTAACATCGAGCTGTGCAAAACAATGATCTATAACAGCAAAAGTTTCTGTACAAACAAAATGCTAAGTCCAATATGAAGAATAGATCTGAGCCGGGGTGATACCGGAGAGAAGTCAGCTGAAGATGTTTGAGAACCATGAGGTGTCAGTGGGCACTGTATTTAATCATTTGACTTGTGCCTGAATTTTATCTAGTTTTTATTTTATTTTACCAGAGGTGTTTTATCCAAGTACAGCTAACAGAGGAAACCCCACCTTGCTCAGCTAGGATATGGTTAACAGAAGTTCTGTTGTGCAATATAAATCACACAAGGGAACTTAAAGATTTTTTTTCCTGATTGGCTGTTGTTTTAGCCGTAACTCCAGCAATTTCCTCTATGGTTTTGGATACGTTTCGAATAGTGTATATTTATTCATTGTAATACCTGCCCAAGGAAAAGTATTCTTCCAAATCTGGTACCTTCTTTAGGGCTGACATGCCAGGTATTAAACCTGACTACGTATGTAAATAGTTGCATGTTTTGACCTGTGAAGTAGGTTTAAAGATGATGTCCCTTGTGGAGTTATCATCCCAGATGGAAATTAAGGGGAAACAAAATATATAATGAGTGCTTGGCCTCTCATTATTTGTGAGAAGTAAGGAAAAGGAAGGTGTGTAGATTATACAGGCCTGATCTGGAATCTTGGGTTAGTTGTCCATAACAGGTGTTGTCTTCTTCACTTCCTAGTAATTTTAAATTTCACATCCTCTTGGTTGAGCAGTCTGTTAGATGCAAGAGTTTTCTTTAAATTAGGAAACATGAACCCAAAAGTCAACACCTTTAAATTTGGTCACATGTTAAGAGTACCTGGCCCTAGCTGGTTTGGCTCAGTGGATAAAGCGTCGGCCTGTGGACTGAAGGGTACCAGATTTGATTCCGGTCAAGGGCACATGCCAGGGTTGCAGGCTCCACCCTCAGTAGGGGGCGTGCAGAAGACAGGCAATCGGTGATTCTCTCTCATCATTGATGTTTCTATCTCTCTGCCTCTCCCTTCCTCTCTGAAATCATTTATAAATATATATATATGAAATTATGGAGGAATCAAGTAGGAAGGAAACGTAAATGTTTTAATTCTGCTTACAAAATTATAATTTACTAAATTGCAGTGGGGGGAGGGCTGGTCATAGCTACCTTAGGAGGAAAAAAAATTCTTATATCTGGAAAACAAGGATAAAAAACCCCAGTCCTTATCAGTTCATTTATTACCATGTTATTCTTATTGATCTTGATCTTTTTGTTAGCAGTTTTGTGAATCCAGTTTTTCTTAGAGTTCTGTAAATCTTAACTGTATTCAGTGTTGTGATCTGAAAGTTAATTAGAAATCTGTATCTTAGAGTGTCAGTCTTCTCCATAAATTTCTCTGAAGAAGGAACATTTTTAGAACATTTTACCGGTCAGAGTAAAACAATAACTGTCTGTAAATGACAAAATATATATATTTTTATTTCAGAGAGGAAGGGAGAGGGGGAGAGAGATTGAAACATCAATGATGAGAGAGAATCATTGATTGGCTGCTTCTTGCCACCTGGGTAGGTGCCTGACCGAGCATTGAACCACAACCTCCTGGTTCAACTCAACCACTGAGCCACGCCAGTTGGGCGACAAAGGATTTTTAACTGACCATGATTAAAGATCTGATGAGAGTTTACACATATACTTATACACATGTAAATAATGCAACTGACTTAGTTATCCATTCCAATCTTAGTTAGCTTGGTCATATATAAAATTCTTTCCCCTCACTCCCCCCCCAAAAAACACTCATTGTAATGTTTTTAAAAGACAGACAAAAAAATGATAGGCAGAGGAGTCTAGCCCAATTAGAACTAAGCCAGCAGTAACAAAAATGAACACAGTATAATGATTTGACCTTATAAAGGAAATGACCAATTAAAATAAAAGTTCACTAGTCTTTATGTTTGTAATATATTAATGAACAAAATACCGAAAATACAATGTATGAATTTCCCCCCTTAGGTTTATAATAAATTATCCAACCTCGACTTAATACATTTACTTTTTTAAAAATATATTTTTATTGATTTCAGAGAGGGAGAAAGAGATAGAAACATCAGTGATGAAAGAGAATCATTGATCGGCTGCCTCCTACAGGCCTCCTGGGGATCGAGCCTGCAACCGGGGCATATGCCCAGGAATCGAACCTGGGACCTTTCAGTTCACAGGCGGACACTCTGTCCACTGAGCCAACCTCTATTTAATACGTTTACTTTTTAAAATTTATTTATTTACTTACTGATTTTAGAGATAGAGAGGAAAGGCAGAAATTTATGATTTTTAAAATATAATCAAGATGAGCCCTAACCAGTGGCTCAGTTGGTTGAAGCATCGTCCCATACACCAAAAGGTTGTGGGTTCAATCCCCAGTCGGGCACATATGGGAGGCACCAATCTATGTTTCTCACATCACTGTTTCTTTCTCCCCCCCCTCCCCCTTGCTCTCTCTCTTTAAAAATCAATAAAAACATATTCTTGGGTGAGGATTAAAAAGAACAACAAAAGAAATAGTTATGAGTAGTAAAATAGTAGAAAATAGTGAATGAATAAATATGATTTTTCATCAGTGGCCATTCATTATTTTACTTTTAGGAACCTATAAGAAATTGTCTTCTTTGAATTTCAAATGTTCTAGTCAGTCTAGTTGTTTCTTAACTTCCTCAATATCATCTTGAATTGTTGAAATAAGTGACTCTAGAGCAGTGGTTCTCAACCTTGGCTGCACATTAGAATCACCTGGGAATCTTTTTTTTAAAAAATATATTTTATTGATTTTTTACAGAGAGGAAGGGAGAGGGATAGAGAGTTAGAAACATCGATGAGAGAGAAACATCGATCAGCTGCCTCCTGCACTCCCCCTACTGGGGATGTGCCCGCAACCAAGATACATGCCCTTGACTGGAATTGAACCTGGGACCCTTGAGTCTGCAGGCTGACCCTCTGTCCACTGAGCCAAACTGGTTAGGGCATGGGAATCTTTTTAAAATCCTGATTTCTGGGCCTCATCCTCCGGAAATTCTGTTTCTTTGTTATGGGGTGGGGCCACAACATTAGTAACAAAGAAACAGAATTTCCGGAGGATGAGGCCCAGAAATCAGGATTTTAAAAAGATTCCCAGGTGATTCTAATGTGCAGCCACAGTTGAGAACCACTGCTCTAGAGAATCAAAGTTTTTTTCTGGTCTGAGGTAACCAACAGTGGCCACATTGAAGATTTCCCCATGAAGTCCTCTTTGAAAGTATGCATGATATGAGTTTCCATGGACTTTTTGTAGTCTTGTAGTATGAGTTTTATCCTGTTTTCACCACCATTTTATAGACATCTCCACTTACAACACTGGCCCATTCATAAAAAATGCCGATGGATACATTAACTGGAAAATTATCTACTACTAGAGGCCTGGTGCATGAAATTCGTGCACGGGTAGGGTCCCTAGGCCTGGCAGGCAATCAGGGCCAATCTGTGAGGTGACCGGTGGGGTGATTAGGGGGAGTTCCCTCACTGGCACCTGCCTTGGCTGACCTGGGGCCTGCAGGCTGGGGACAGCTCCTGTGTTAAGCGTCTGCCCCCTGGTGGTCAGTGTGCATCATAGTGACTAGTTGTTCCACTGTCTTTCCACTGTTTGGTCGATTTGCATATTAGGCTTTTATTATATAGGATTTTTTGAGGAAAGTTAGCTGTGGGGATGCCCAGCTGTTTGGAGCCACAGTCAAAGCCCTGCACCACTTGGCCGTAGTAGAAGTAAAGCATGTGTTTCCTGATGTCATTGCTCGGGTCTCAAGCTACTGTTTGGTCCACTGAAGTGTTGTCTAGATCCCCAGACCAGCTAGGGGACATGGCGGGAGCTCAACCTGTGGGAGCACAATGGGCCAAGAGGCACCTGCGATGCATCACAGCAAGCCCTTCATGCTGCTGACCCAGCAGATGCTGCTGGGTGACTCAGAGGCTGTCTCTCTGCCTTGCAGGGGCTAAATTATTAAGATCCCTCCTCCACACACCCCTGCAACACCCACACTCCCTACGCAACTTATACACCTTTTGAATATAACTTCTGCAACTTACACAAACCTGCAACATCCACCCACCTTCTGCAACTTACGCACCTACAATTGTACACACCTGCAGCTTTTACACACCTTTTGTTTCTTACCCACCTAATTATTTTTTGTAAGAACAAACAAAATAAAAATGTATTTAATATATTCACCACAGGGACACAACCAGAGATTTAATTAAAAAAAAACAAAACAGTGCTCACTTCAGCAACAAATATACTAAAATAGTAATGATACAGAGATTAGCATGGCTCCTGCACACGGATGACATGCAAATAAAAATAAATAAAAATAAAAAACAAACAAAACAAAATATTATACCACAGCTGAAGATAGAATCCTATACAGAAAGCAAGGCAAGGACAGACCATCAGGGCTCTTGGTTAGAGACCTGCTTTGCGTAGGTTTATTGCAGGTACTTCTTTTTTCTTTTGTTTTTGTTTTCCTCACCCAAAGATATTTTCTCCATTGATTTTTTTTTTAATTTAAGTATTTTTAATTTTTTTTCAGTTACAGTTTATGTTCAATATTATTTTGTATTAGTTTCAGGTGTACAGCATCCATTGATGTTTTTATTTTTATTTTTTAAAATATTTTTATTGACTTCAGAGAGGAAGGGAGAGGGAGAGAGAGATAGAAACATCAATGATGACAGAGAATCATTGGTCGGCTGCCTCCTACACGCCCCCTACTGGGGATCGAGCCGCAAGCCGGGCATGTGCCCTTGACTGGAATCAAACCCAGGATCCTTTAGTCTGCAGGCCAACGTTCTATCTACTGAGCTGAACCAGCTAGGGCAGCATCCATGGATTTTTAGAGAGAGTGGATGGGAGGAACGAGGAGGAGAGAGAAACATCTATGTGAGAGAGACACATTAATTGTTTGCCTCCCGCAGGGGCCAGGGATCAAGTCTTCCAGCTCAGCTTAGATGTCCCCGTTCCCTCTCACATCTGCCTCATTTCTTCCTTGACATGTTCCACCCTGCAAATCTCTCCTGTGTGTTTGATTCTCCTGAATTTCAGCCACTCTGAGGGCCAAGTTTATGCTTGTCTTTTCATTTCCATGAATCCTTCTAGAGCCCCTTCTGTGTGCTGGCCCCCTACTCTGGGGCTTGATGTTGTAATAAGAGGTGCAGGCAGAAGATAAATGTAATTGATCCACTGATTGCATATTTACAAAGCAGTTAAAATTGATTTGCAAACCCAAATCAATTCTTGAGTTTTCACGATCGTGTATAGACATGTGCAGAGCAGTGAACATTGCAGTTTCCTGATGTGCGTGTACCGCGCTGAGGTGGAACCAAGGACGTTCTGCTTTATTTCAGTACATCCTATAAGCCAGTGGCCTTTTCAGGGTGTACTTGGTGCCATGCTTTTACATTTTTGTGCTGTTTGTTGGTGATTTTGCTGTAAAGTGGCATCAGGTGTAAAGCTGGGGTTCTGTCCATTGATCCTGAGCAGGAAGGCAGTGCTGTGCCTTTTGGAGAAAATATTCGCTCACTTTGCTCAGGGGTGAGTGATAGTGCTGTTGACTGTGAGCTTGATGTTACTGAATTAGCAATATATGTGAGATAAGGGTTCAAACAGAAACATACATAAAACGAGATGTGCTGATCAGCTGGCAGAAATGTGATTGGAAGCTCGCAGGAACCTTGTGTTTCCCCAGAGCCGTGGCTCTGTATTTGCTAGTTCAGTGTCTTGGGAACTGTGACAACAGAACTGCAGAGAACAGTGCTGCTGGTCCTGCAGAGCAGGGCTGGGCTGGGAATCCTTGGTGAGAGCCTTCGAGTCAGCAAGAGCAGCAAGTGCAAAGGCCCGAGGCCATTATGGCTGGAGCAGAGTGAGTGGTAGGGGCAGTGGAAGGCCATGGGGGCACCTGGGTAGCTTTTGAGAACAGAGCCCTGGGGATGTGCCAACACAATGGACTTGGAGGGAGAGCGGTGTAGACATCCCTGGGGTTTTGGGCTGAGCACCTGGAAGACAGAGCTGTGGTGACAGATGCGGAGGGGACATCAGGAGTGTGTTTGGGAAGTTTAGTGCTAGGGGGATTGGGTGGAGAGGTGCTAAGTAGGTGAGTGGGGTGCATATGCTTAGAAGTTCAGGGACATGTGGGAGTTATCAGCAAATACATAGAAGGGAGCCTTCAAGAGCAGGTGAGACCAGCTGCCTCCTACCTCCTGGCTGGCAGGGTGTTTGGAGGGATTTGAACCAGGTTCCCCTGACATCCTTGCCCTTTGCCTCCCCACAGTGCTTGAGGCCAGAGTGCGGCAGCTGCAGGCCGACAATGTTTCAGAGGTGAGGGCGAAGCTGTTGGATGTGGCTCGACTCCCAGAGGCCGATGGCTCCCTGTCACCCAGGAAGGTGGAGGCAGGAAACGAGGGTGCTGCCCTGGGGCTCACCAGCCACTGGGCACAGAAGTTGCACAAGGAGAAGCTCGTGATGCAGAAGCGCAAGCAAAAGCTGGAGGAAAACCTGCAGAAGCAGGCCCGCAAGCGTCAGCTGCGTGTGGAGCCCCAACTGCTGAATCGGCAGCTGGCAGGCTGGCTGCAGCGTTGGGAACGCAGCACCCCCAGGAGTCCCTGGGAGGAGCAGCTGGCCCAGCTGCTGCAGGAGGCCCCTAAGAGGCTGAGCCGCCAGGAGGAGCATGATCAGGCGAATAGGCTCTCCAAGATGCGGTATGAGGCCCAGCAGCAGAGGCTTCTGGCCTTCTTGGAGTGCTGCGTGCTTGCGGACCAGCTGCCCCTCGCCCACCATGTGCTGGTCATGCATCACAGCAAGTCCCGGCAGCAGCGGGCACTCACCCTGCCCATGTACAACACCCTTCTGCTTGGCTGGGCTCGCAAGGTGAGCGGGGCTAGGTGGGCCAGGGAAAACGGGGTCACCACCTGTCACAGGTGGAGGTGAGGCTGGGGGGCAAAATTTGCCTGTGGCTGCACTTAGATTCTTATGCTTTTGTCTTTTAGACCCAAAATTCAAGAGCTTTGTTACTACTCTAATTTTTGTAGGCTTGATGGATATAAATCTCATGTGGCCCTCAAAAGAAGTTTTGAAAATTCAATTGTTGTACTGTTGATATTTGGCTCTGTTGACATGAGTTTGCCGACCACTGGGCTAGGGCAAGGGGTTTCAAGCAGCCTGCAGGCCCTCACCAGGATAATGACTTCCATGCTTTGGGTTTAGTTTGCTCCTTTTCTTTGTTTCCTGGGGTGGAAGGTTAGGTGATTGTCTTAAGACTCCTTTTTGAATACAGGCATTCTTAGCTATGGACTTCCCTCTGGGTGCTGCGTTAGCCGGCTTCCGTGTTTCTCCCTCTTCTTCATCTCTGAGTATTTCCAGTCCCCCTGCGATTCCTTCTTTGACTCTGGCTGTTCAGGAGAATGTTCTTCACATGCAGCTTCAATTTGAGGAACTGTAGGAAAATCTGTTACTGCTGAGGGGACAAAGGAGCCAGTTTGTGTAGATACATGCACCGACATGTGAGGACATCTGTGGTGGAGACGTCCATGTGCTTGACTGACGGACTAACAGCGAGGCCCAGGAGCAGCCTGGTGACTGCCATCTGCGTCACTGCCATGACGTGGAGATGCCGACATCCCCCCAGGTGACAGTCAGCTGGTGTTTTGCTTGCATCATTGTGGGAGATGTACTCAGTTCCTTGAGTTAGTTGAGGTGAAGGGGTCATCCTCCAATCTGAGTCCATGAAGCTTCCAGCATTCCCAGCAGAGAGCACTGTTACAGCAGGATGTGTTTGACTAGCCTGGGCCCATGACACTGCAGGGCTGCATGGCTTCCTTGGCTTCCTAAGTAATGTTCCTGGGTGGCCGGCATGTGTAGGATGGAACTTGGCGGTCATGCCACTCACTTCTTTTTTTTTTTTTTTAAATATATTTTATTGATTTTTTACAGAGAGGAAGGGAGAGAGATAGAGAGTTAGAAACATCGATGAGAGAGAAACATCAATCAGCTGCCTCCTGCACATCTCCCACTGGGGATGTGCCCGCAACCCAGGCACATGCCCTTGACTGGAATCGAACCTGGGACCCTTCAGTCCGCAGGCCGACGCTCCATCCACTGAGCCAAACCAGTTTCGGCCATGCCACTCACTTCTTTATGAGCCTTAGCTTTCTCATCTGTAAGGTGGGGAACCGTTCTGCTAGTGTCTTGGGAGGAGCGAGGCACTGAACCTAGGACTTCCTCCATGTGTGTAGGAGAGGGGTGGGAGGGTATGTGAGATATATGTGTGTGTGTGTGTGAATTCTTATCTTTATCTTTTTATTTTATTTTTTAAAATAATTCTTTAATTGATATTTTAAAATGTGTTTTCACGTGGGTGATGATACTACTAAAAGTGTTTTTGGAAGATGGGATAGATATGCTTCCTCTAGACCAGTGCAATCCAATTGGAAATATTCTTTTTTATTTTTTTATTTTGTACCCCCATCCTCCCCTTTGGCAGCCATCAGCTTGTTCTCCATTTATGGGTTTCTTTCTGTTTTGTTTATTCAATTGTTTTGTTCTTTAGATTCCACATATAGGTAAGGTCATGCAGTATTTGTTTTTCTCTGTCTGACTAATTTCACTTAGCATGATACCCTCTAGGACCATCTATGTTACAAATGATAAAATTTCTTTTTTTTTATGACCAAGTAATACTCCATGGTATATATGTACCATATCTTTATCCAGTTGTCTATCGATGAACACTTAGGTTGCTTCCATATCTTGGCTATTATAAATAATGTCGCTATGAATATGGGGGTGCATATGTCTTCTCATATATACTGGTAGTCTTTGGATTTCTTCAGATAAATACCCAGAAGTGGAATCGCTGGTTCATAAGGCAGTTCTATTTTCATTTTTTGAGGAACCTTTATACTGTTTTCCATAGTGGCTACACCAGTTTGCAATCTCACCAACAGTGCATGAGCATTCTTTTTCTCTCCACATCCTTGCCAACACTTGGTATTTGTTGGTATATTGATGATAGCCATTCTATCAAGTGTGAGGTGAGATCTCGTTTTGGTTAATTTGCATTTTGCTAATGATTAGTGACATTGAGCATCTTTTCATGTCTATTGGCCATCTGTCTATTCTCTTTGGAGAAATGTCTATTCAGATCCTCTGCCAAATTTTTAATTGGATTGTTTGGTTTTGGGTGTTAAATTGTATGAGTTACATATATATTTTGGATATTAACCCTTTATTGGATGTATCATTGACTAATATATTTTCCCATTCAGTGGGTTGTTCTTTGTTTTGTTGATGATTTCCTTTGCTGTGCAAAAACTTTTTTTTTTTTTTAGTTTTTTTTTTAAAATATATTTTTATTGATTTCAGAGAGGAAGGAAGAGGGAGAGAGAAATAGGAACATCCATGATGAGAAAGAATCATTGATCGGCTGCCTCCTGCACGCCCCCTACTAGGGATCGAGCCCAAAACCTGGGCATATGTACTTGACCGGGATTGAACTCGAGACCCTTCTGTCTGCAGGCTGACACTCTATTCACTGAGCCAAATCAGGTAGCGCTTTTTTTTTTTTTTAAGAGAGAGGAAGGGAGAAGGACAGAGAGAGAGAAAGAAACATCAATGCGAGAGCAAAACAGTGATCGGCTGCCTCCTACACACCCTCTACTAGGGATCAAGCCCGCAACTTGGGCTTATGCCCTGACTGGGAATCGACCAGCAACCTTTCAGTGCATGGGACAGCACCAACCAACTGAGCCACACCGGCCAGGGCTCCCTTTGCTGTTTTTGCTATCAAGCCCCACCCAGACCTTCTGGGGTTATTGAGACATCTAAATCAAATGGCAGTCCTGCTCAGGAGAGTCTAGGAACTTCAGTCTGTTTGACCAGTGATTTTGCTTTCTCAAAGGTAGACTGTTGTTCAGCTCCCCAGCCTCATATATGCCCCTTCTTTTTTTAAAAAAAAATATATATTTTATTGATTTTTTACAGAGAGGAAGGGAGAGAGATAGAGAGTCAGAAACATTGATGAGAGAGAAACATCGACCAGCTGCCTCCTGCACACCCCGCACTGGGGATGTGCCTGCAGCCAAGGTACATGCCCTTGACCGGAATCGAACCTGGGACCTTTCAGTCCGCAGGCCGTCGCTCTATCCACTGAGCCAAACTGGTTACGGCGATATATGCCCCTTCTTAACTAGGAGAAGGCTTTGTACTAAATGGGATATAAATGTTCACTAGTACCCCAAATTCCTACAAGAGCCTGTACCTCTTTTACCTTTTTTTGGTGTGGGTAGGCTTTTACTTTCTCAGTGATGGCCTTGGGTACAACACAGAACTTCCAGGAACTTTACTGTGGTATCTGGACCTTGAATTCTCTGCAGATTCACTGCTTATCCTTTCTGTTGTCGGTGATCCAATAAAGCCTGCAAGGTTCTCTGCAGCAGAGGCAAATTTTCACAGGTTAACGTCATGTCATCGACATAATGAGTCCATTTCACAGGGGTCAGGAAGCAAAACAGTGACTGTCCCGAGCCACCATTCCTAGGTGGGGCTAGGTGAATAGTCTTAAAGGAGCACTTGAAGGAATACTCCAAGTGGGAAACATTTTCCAATAGTCTCTTTGTCACTGTGAGGGCATCAGCCTTGACTGAGGACAATATGAGTGGCAGTTGAATGAAGGCCGGCATAAATGCACTGCGGTGCATGAAGGAAAGCAAACTCAGAAATGCGGCTTCCAGGGAGCCTGGGTGTTTGTTCAATTTACAGCCATTGTTGACCCCTCTTAGTTTCTCTCATTCAGGAGCAGACTGCTGCCATGTTACAAGGACGTCAGGATGGCAAAAGTCTGGCAATGAGGGGCCTTTTTTTAAAAATTCTCAACCAAGGACATGCTTTTTTCATCGATTCTAGAGAGAGAGGAAGGGAGAGGACGAGAGAGAGAGAGAGAGAGAGAGAGAGAGAGAGAGAAACATCGATCAATTGATCAGCTGCACCCTGACCAAAGATCAAACCTGCAGCCTGGGTATGTGCCCTGACTGGGAATCCAACACGCGACCCTTCAGTGAACAGAACTATGCACTAACCACTGAGCAAGGTGGCCAGGGGAGGGGCCATTTTTGTTGAAGCATAATGGACTTTATCCACATGCGCCACATGTTCATACTCAAGTTCAGTCCTATTAGTGTGTGCCTCAATTTTGATAATAGACATCCTACATCAGGACATCTCAGATTTCCGGGAATTTCACATACTTTCTGGAACACTTATAAATTACACTTATACAAATACAACACAAAGTTTAATATTATTATGTATTTGATAGTGCTTCCCAAATAAGCCTAATTGCTAGTAAAACTTAGCTCTTACTATTTTTTAAAAAATATATTTTATTGATTTTTTGCAGAGAGGAAGGGAGAGAGATAGAGAGTTAGAAACATGATGAGAGAGAAACATCGATCAGCTGCCTCCTGCACATCTCCTACTGGGGATGTGCCTGCAACCAAGGTACATGCCCTTGACCGGAATCGAACCCGGGACCCTTGAGTCCGCAGGCCGACGCTCTATCCACTGAGCCAAATCGGTTTTGGCTTAGCTCTTACTATTAAGTTTCAGATTTCTTTTTATTCTTTTTTTTTTCTTTTTTAAATATATTTTATTGATTTTTTACAGAGAGGAAGGGAGAAGAATAGAGAGTTAGAAACATCAATCAGCTGCCTCCTGCACACCCCCCACCGTGGATGTGCCCGCAACCAAGGCACATGCCCTTGACCGGAATCGAACCCGGGACCCTTGAGTCCGCAGGCCGACGCTCTATCCACTGAGCCAAACCGGCCAGGGCAAGTTTCAGATTTCTTAAGCAATCGAGGACCTGAGTAAGA